CATTTTAACCATGCGTAGTTGCATGCACAGAGGATAGGGTTTTCTAAAAGAAAATTAGATATATGTGGAAAGGATGTCTTTTGAAGAGGTCCAATTCAAAGGAATTGGAAATTTTAACTATAAATTGTATTTTAATATACTTATCCTATCTCACGTCTTGTACTCTCTCTCTTTAATTCGACCAACTAAGTGGAAACGAACTGCAAACAAAATCCAAGGCCTGTCTTGTGCAATCGCCCTTGCACTCCATCTGCTCCCCTTATTGGACAGTCTCTGTATCTCCTGAGAAGCATGCAGCTCACTCCACTACTGTTTAACAGCCAGAGACAGCGATGCACAAGGGATTGTTACAAATCCTAAGATTACATAACTCCTATACTTGTGGTGGGTTCTCTGGAAGCCCTTGGCTTGCAAAGCACAAAACTCCCAGGGAGATGGGCACTCCAAGAGTAATGCGGTTTTCCTGCCACAACCATTGTGCGAAGACAAAATGACGTAGCCCTATCAAACGAGGTGTACTTACTAAACCTCGCCTCACTGCGAATTACAGAAAGCCCTAGTAAAAGTCTCTTACCTTGATCTGGCCAGCCTCTGCTTCGAGACTGCCCCCACAGAGACCACTGATTAGAAGGTGAAAGGGGAACCGACTCGGAAAGCTCACTATTTTAACGTTCAGTTCCAAACAACATCGAATGACCCTTGTTCCTTTGCCTAAGCTTAGTCAAAGATGTGTCCAGCAACTTAGGAGCAGAACGCATCGAAATTCACTGGAATTCGGTAATTCACACTTCACTGACGTAATTGCTCCGGAAGAGTAGAGGACAGTAAGCATGAGTGGCGATCACTTCTGCATCATAATACAATATATGCCTCAAGGTGTATGAGGAAGCCACGCCTGGTGGCTGTATCCAATGCCCTAGTGTGTGACAAAGGAGAACAAAGAGTGAAGTAAGTTTCAGACTGTATTCAGTATGTACAAGGACTGGCTGACTGACTGACTGAGTTTGGTTTTACGCCGCTTTAAGCAATATTCCAGCAACATCACGGCGGGGGACACCAGAAATGGGCTTCACACATTGTGCCCATGTGGGGATTCAAACCCGGGTCTTCGGCGTGGTAGTATGACCAGAAATTATTGAGAATTTTAAGAATATGTTTAATTGGATTTCTAGTATAAACAACCTTGACCAGCTATCATGTGCTTGGTTTCATTCAAGTGAGACAACTCCGTTAATCCTTTTTCATTAGTTTGTGAAGAGTTATCCCCCCTTTGTTTACTTGCTAGCAGACGACATTTTCAGTGATCCTCAGTATGGATGATTTAGAAGAGGAAGTTGATTTTAGAGTATTATAACAAGGACATCAGATCAGCTAAAGTGATTTCAAGTAGAACAGGCATCCCTTTGTCCACTGTTTATCGTGTTTTGAAAAATATTGCAAATGGATATGGCATTGAGCACCAGGTAGGCCCAGAAAATTGACTGTCGGTGACAGGAGGCGGCTTGGTATTCTTGTTTCTAAAAACAAATGAAGGAGTTTAGAAAACTTAAAGCTGGATATGATTGATAGAGGAACTGTGGCTGTCTGTAAGGAGACAATTAGAACTGAGCTGCATGCAATGGGTTGGCAGAAAAGTCAAGGAATTCCAGCACCGATCATGAAACCTGAACAAAAGGAGCGAAGGTTGAACTGGTGCTTACAGCATAGAAATTTTAACTGGGACAATGTGATTTTCTCAGATGAAAGTTCTGTGCGGCTGTTTACTAATACACTGAAATTCTGGACCAAACAAACTGAAAAACCTTTGTATCAGCGCCCAAAGTACAGTCCGAAATTTAACTTGTGGGGTGGCATATCTGTGTTAGGGGCAACGCCCCTCTGTGTATTTGAAGGGAATATGAACAGTGAGCGGTACACAGATATTCTCGAGGGACATTTACTTCCATCTGCTCATGTGTTCTATGGAAATTTTTTGATTTTCCAGCAGGACAACGAACCAAAACATCGTTCAAAGCATTCACAGGCCTGGTTTCGGACCCAAAATATGACATTATTAGATTGGCCAAGCTATAGCCCTTTGGCTAACTCCAATAGAAAATGTTTGGGGACTTATGAAGGAAAGTGTCAATAAGAAAAATCTGACAAATATTGCTGAAATGAAAGACTGACTGACTGAGTTTAGTTTTACGCCGCTTTTAGCAATATTCCAGCAATATCACGGCGGGGGACACCAGAATGAAATGAAAGAAGAGGTGGTCCGATATTGGGACAGCATGGACCACGACTTTCTAACTTCTTTGATCAGTAGTATGCCCCGCCGCATTGAAGCCTGCAGTGCTGCCCATGGTTACTTGACAAAATACTAACTGTTCACCTGTCTTTGAATCTGGAGTTATGTTCTGCTACGTTCATCATGTATTCACATTTAATACGTGAGTAATGAGTGAAAAAAAATAAAAAATTACAATCTTTAAATTCTCAATAATTTCTGGCTGTACTGTATATATATATACATATGATAGACATCAGGCCAAAACCTGAGCTATCGGCACCGGGGGATCTGGTTCAGTGAGTCCGAATCCCGGTCCCGAGACACATGGGAGTAGCCTGACTATGCAGGGTTCCCCTGGTACTTGGGTAGACCTCGGAGTTTCGAGGTGACTGGCAGCTCCATCACCTTCAACAGCCAGCGCCGGGGATCTGCGCTGTACCGGACCGAAGCAAGGATCGTTGCGAGTCCCTAGGTTCAGAGAGTCCCCGGAACCGGAGGTCGGACCCTTCCACGAGCCAGAGCTTGGGTCTGGACCTCCCCCAACAGATGCGCCGGTGCCATCTGTACCCATAAACCGGGCACCAAGCTCCTTGCAGAGCCTGGACACCATGTCTGAGAAATCAATCGTTAGCGTTGCAGCAACATTGTTTGTGGGGGAGATGTAGGTTGGGGAAGAGGAAAGAGTTTCCTTAGAAACCTAGCCTTTTTTACCTCTTAAGAGATTGTGGCTTAAACATTTTGGATGGGATCCTGACCCAAATATTATCCCTGCCTGAAGCAGATCAGTGAAAAACATAAAATCTGTGTGCCTGAATGTGCATAAACCCAGGCAGAAACACAACCTTGGTCGCCATGAGCCTTGTTGTGTGTATCTACGTATGTGAGTGAGTGAGTTTAGTTTTATGCCGCTCTCAGCAATATTCCAGCTATATGGCAGCAGTCTGTAAATAATCAAGTCTGGACCAGACAATCCAGTGATCAATAGCATGAGCATTGATCTGCGCAATTGGGAACCGATGACATGTGTCAACCAAGTCAGCGAGCCTGAACACCCGATCCCGTTAGTTGCCTCTTACGACAAGCATGGGTTACTGAAGATCAATATTCTAATCTGGACCTTCATGGGTCGTACACGTATGTAATGTATATATGTGTAATATACCAGAACATAATGTAACAGTAAAAAATTAAAACAAGGACGATGTAATGCAAAGCAAAACATAAAAGCCATGCAGCAACATTGGAAAATATAAATAACACAAATTGCAACACATTGTTATTAGTACTGCAAAGCGATCGTACAGAAGAAATCACTAGTCGCGTGACATCGTCAACAACAAAAAGCACCAGATAGACGCGATGACGTGTCACAAATAATTATGACAACCATGTCCAGAACCAATGGGCTGAATTGAAGGTTCTTGTGAACATCAGTTATGTGTTGAAAAACCTACATCCAAATGCTCTATGGCAAAGAATATTTCACACAGCCCCGGACAGGAATGACTACAACGCCATCATCAAGGTGATATTTCTTGTTGAACTTTAGCCTTTCAACTGCTTGCTGTGAAAGGGAGTTTTCTGCTATGAAGAAAATCAAAACAGACTTGGTATGTAGATTGCAGACAGATACCCTTGATGACTTGATGAGAATCAAACTTGCAGGCCCACAGACTTTCAGAGAATTTGATCCTAGACCACTAGTGAACAGGTGGTTGTTGAGTCGAGAGAGGGCCAGGAGACCTAATACAGTTCCATATGGCCAAAGACAGTAATGTGACTGGAAGGGGACTGGGAGTGTGGTATTAACAGCAATACGGAAGAATGCTGCTATCAGGTAAGGGATTTTGCAACCTACTTTTAAACCAGGTAGCAAGTACTTGCTACTTGCCAAAAAAAGTTAATTTGAACACTGAAAAACAAACTGTTGGCGTTTAATTGACTTGAATGAGTCAATAACGCAGGTCTAGGGGCCCATGGATGACGAGCCGGTAATCAGTTTAAATGTGATTGCTGTGAATAATGTGAAATTGGTGCTACCGCAGTAGGCTCAAAAAGCGGACCCTCATGAACATGGTAAGCGGAAGTGGTACACGTATAGAATGAGGTGATGCCATTTCACACACGTTTTCTCTGATGTTACTGTAAACAGTTTTAATGGAGGAAAATGGCATTAACTGTAATCAAATAAATTGAAATCAAGGACGATCGTTCTATTATGTGTTTTCTGTCATCATACGTTTTTGGATGGCAGTGTTTACCGCGTTATAAGGTGATGTGTTGCATCACAGCAAACATGGTAAGTACATGACTGTATTTATGATAAAATTGTCTTTTATACATTGTTCCGCTGTTCTGTTGTTTGTCTGGTTTGAAATAACTGATAAAGAAATGGAACCCAGCAACTTATCTGTTATCTGCAGTTGCTGTCTTGCTGACTGGATGGTCTCTGCTTGTAAGTAGACGACTTGAGGCGAACTCGAACTTACTTCCGGGAAAATGGCGGCATAGATTTTGACAAAATGACTCGATTTCTAGGCATTTTAGAAAAGGTTTAACAAGGGTAACAAAAGGACGGTACGAAAACACCAAATTTTGGGATTGCATTGCGGTATACCGAACTGAAGGCAAAATACCATGGTTCTACTAATACCGATGTACTGTTTTACCCTAGTCTCCAGCATCTCTCATACAGTTAAGGGAAAAAAAATGTTTAAGGGATTCCTACCTGCTTTTAAGTGTTTTGCTATGCCGAGGTCAAGGTCAGCATGTAATTTGTTTACTGAGAGGATCCTCTGTTGCGGCATTCAGATGATGGCTTTCTGGAGATATGACATTACTGTTGGCTGACATACTGAGGTTGTTGAAGGACGTCACAAACTTGTTACGATGTCTTTCAGATCTGGAAGGAAATTGACTGCATTACAAACCATTCAACCTATTTGATGTGGCATTCTAAGATGCCTAGCGGTTAGAACAATCGAAAAACAAAACATTATCAGACAAAAAAGGTATAGTTTTTGGATGACGTAACAACTGAATGACGTTATCCCGTCACTGCACCATTCTAGTGTGCCCCTCGTAATCGAACCATTTTACATTACATCACAATGTAAGCGACGTCACGATGCATGTCAGTTGCCATCGCCTCGTACAGCCTCCTACAGTAAACTACTGCGTTGCATCCCGTTTCTTGGTTTGCAGTTGCTTCACTCACCTAACATCACTGGTGGAAACAATACGGTTACGTTTTCTGACATTTTAAATGTCTCAATTCGACAGTTCGCAATGTTTACATTCCCACAATGCAATCGTGGAATGTCGCTTGACTACTCAGCTTCGTCTGGATGTACTGATCTAAACATACGTTGCTAGTAGAAATGCGACGTTCACATGGTTTACGTTAATCACAGATGTAATTAAAATAATTTAGAGAAGATACTTAATCCGAACGTAAACCGTCATGAAACTGTTTATCATTTGTTTTTCTGGTAACGTTCGTCTTAACGTAGGGGGGCAGACATCAACAGAACAGCGCGCCAGTTAGCCCTGTGCGAGGATTCTTAATTTAGGTCACCGACACCGTCGTTTGTTTTCTGCCTTAAATTAATCGTAATTATCCTTAGAAAGTATTAAATTTGGCATCTTTGAAAAGAAATACAGTTCGCTTTACCACCATGAGCGAGCGTCCTCGTGCTTTAACTATAATAGTTCAGGGCAAAAGTGTGTTTTATTACACTATACATGGTGGTAGAGCGAACTGTATTTCCTAATTCATACTATGGCCTTTGAAAGCATTGGAGCACAACTAACTTTCTGTATTTACTGATTTAAACAAAATCCTATTAATAGTTACAATCATTTTGTATGATACAAAATATGTCAATATATGAAGAAACCAAAGACCTTTTGCACACTTTTTTCCTGCAATCAGAGAAATCATACATAGACAGAAGGGCAAACAAAACATACAACAAATCCCTCAGACATCCTCACAAGTTTTTTAATTACATCAACAAATTACTACTGAAACACATTCCCTACTTACCTGTGGGATAACTGGTATTATATGAATGCAAGTGTGATGTCGCATTCCATGTCTGTGATTGGTTACTCCATGGTGATGACATAATGACTGACTACTTTCCTATTGTAATTTATGGAAATTTTATTGTTTCAGAGTTAAGAAATCTAACGTGGTCTTATCTTACATTTCATTATCATCCCCTGTCAGATAGGACATATATCTCAATGAAATAAAGGTAACTTTACTTTTTAGATACATTTTGCAACAACTCATAGGTTAAATGGCATCTACAGTAACTGAATGTGTAGTATTTCATTGAGATTGGTACCAATAAGGAGGATTCTACGATGCTTCGCTAAAAGATCATAGGAGTCGACAGTACTTTCTCAGACGATAAAGTACACTTTTTGCATTACGTCACACTGTATTGATGTCAATATGCCATTCTCGTCTGACAACTTACCGATAACCGATGTTACAATGCATGTCAGTTGTCATTGTCAAGTACAGTCTCCTACAGTGCAACTAACTCCGTAGCACCCTGTTTCTTGCACATGCTTGTCAACCAGAGACCATATATGTGGTCTCTGTTGTCAACTAACATCACATTATATTTAATTTTTTCAATGGAAAAATGTCTCAGTTAGACTTACAATTAGCGCCCTGGGGTAACATTGAACTTTAAAAATACGTCATAATACCCTTTTACGTAATGTATTGTGATTTTGTAAGAAAGCACGTTCTCGAAAAAATGCCCTATGATGCCTGCATGGCAACACGGTGGTCTAGCTCAGCGAGCGCTCACTGGTGTTTCATCTCTACTAGCTATGTCATTGCATAAGCCCAACGATGTTGAGAGTGTCCAGTGCAATTTTTTGCAAGCAATAGTTTGAAATATTTTTCTTTTTTCACTAATACGCTCATATTTATTTGTATTACGGGGTGCTGAGGTGTTATGTTTTGTGTATTATTGAATTTTGGGATTTAGCGTCCCATGTTTTCGGGGTATGTCTTTTCCCCGTAATTTCTCGCGTACAGGGAGATGTCAGCGCCACCTGTAAACACCGTCTCGAGTGCAGAAGCTTCCGTGGCAACCGGGACACAAAATGTTTGAAATATCCAGCTTTCAGGTAAGTTGTGACCTGAATGTCTGTCAAAATACTAAAATTCTACCCAAGAACGTAATGCACTTTCAGACCCTTCATAAATGTGATGATAACTTTTGAAATAAAGCTCGTAACTTGTCAAGCGGACCATCGTCTGCTAGAGTGAAAAGCCAAGCATAAACATCACGTGACTCTAATGGAATGTTGCTGACGAAATAAAAAAACTATGGAAAACCGAATTGGTCATCTCTTACATATTTTTTCCCCCGTGTTGCAGAAGTCTTCTCGGCGACAATACAGGCGCTATAGCCAAAACTATCTAAAACTAACGCATTTGAAGCTGTAATTGAAGATAAAATAAGTGTTTATAAAGCATCAAAAATGTTTGCTGTACCAGAGCAGACCATAAGGGATCGCATATCAGCAAAAGTTGACATTGACTCCACCACTTCCGGGCCATCCCCACTGCTTAGTCAAATTGAGGAATCACGTTTGGCAAAGCACATAAGTTACATGGCTTCAGTGGGTTATGGTTACACAAGATCAGAAGTCAATTCACTTGCAACTGACTTCGCTTGGGGAAGAAAAGCAAGGACTCTGCTGCATTCTCAATGCAATGGTTTTATGGTTTTCTCAGACGGTGGCCAGAGTTAAAGTTACCAAGCCACAATCTCTCACTGAACTCACGGCTTATGCCACTTCTGAAGAAAAAGTCGGTAATTATTTCTGTAAACTGGAGAAAGTTTTGACGAATTATGATTTGAAATCGCGCCCAGAAAACATCTAAAACGTCGATGAGAAAGGCATGTATCAAGTCCATTCACCACCCTATGTTGTTGGATCGATTTCAAGTTCATCTATTGACATTTCTTCTGAGTGTTCCTCTGTTGACACTCTGATAGGATGTGGAAACGCCCTTGGCCACCAGATACCACCTTTCTTCATATTCACAGGTGCCCGTATGAGGGAGGAGTTACTTCATCATGCCACATCGGGAGCTGATGCAACTGTATCTGACAGTGGATGGTGGAACTCTGCAATATTTAAGAAGTACTTGGAAACACAATTTCTTCGATACGCTCAGGGAAGAAATAATCATAAAATTGTACTCATGTACGATGGTCACAGATCACACATTTCTCCTGATCTTATTGACTGGGCGAATGAAAACAACATCATTCTGTTTGTGCTTCCACCCCACACCAGCCATATGCTTCAACCGATGGATGTTGGTTGTTTTGGACCATTTTCCAAAATATTTCAAAGTGAATGTCACAAATTGTTTACGCAGTGGAATTACTAAATTAATTTGTGAACGTGAAACGTGAAAAAACGTGCTTAACTAAATGGTAAATAAACAACCTTCTTGCCACTCCGACCACCAAACTAAATATGATACTTTTGCCACTCCGACCACCAAACTAAATATGATACTTTTTCTAAACTACATGAACTAAATAAGCTATCTGATAAGATACACAACTATAATTCTAAATTGTTTAGTATCTATACTATGTCGAATATGGCAAACTATTTGTGTAATCTAACGACCAGAGTCTCACTGATCAAAATTGTCGACCATTCACTTAGCCGTCAGAAACCTATGTGCTCGATCCTGCACATGCAGAGAGTGACTGCACGAGGCGTTACGGTTGCGTTTTGATGCAACGTTCATGGTTCTTGTAAAGATGTGTTTTGGCTATCAGATAACAAAAAACCAAAGAAACTAGCTTTCTCTCCAGAACATATCCCCCTTTGCTGACAAGACCCTGGTCTTTCAGAGAGACATCTATTTACATCTAATTACACTAAATGTTGTGTAGACTTGTACTGAACTTGAAATGTACACGATAATCGTCATGACAAATGGCAACGTGAGAATCCCGGAACTGTCAATAAGTACAATATATGCGAAATCGCTTGCAAGGCATACGGGGCAGCGTTATCAGCAAACAACTTGCAAAGTTCCTTTTGAAAATGTGGGATATTTCCATTCAATCCATCCGCTGTTGACATGTCATACCTGCAGCTGTCAAAGTTTGCTGAACAACACAAAGCATCAAACTCACCTGATAATGACAAGCGACATTGGAGGGAGTTTCCATCTGCACATGCTATGGAAAAAGAGTCTGTCGGAATTGAGGTGAGGTGAAATTGGGTTTAACATCGCGCTGGAGAATATTTCGCTCATATGACGACGTGCATGCGTGTGTATGTGTAGGTGCAGCTGCTTGTACTAGCCCAGACTGAAGCTGGTTTTATTGTGCTAGCCCACTGTGATATCATGCCGCAGTAAAGCATGAATACCCCACTCAGACACAGTCCTTGCTGTACCCATTAATGCCGAGCGCCAGGCAGGGACCAACAAGTACCATATTTTAACGTCTTTTGGTATGACGCGGTCGGGGATCGAACCCGCGACCTTCCGCTCTTCGGGCGGATGCTCTAACCACTACACCACGGAGGCGGTCCCTGTCGGAATTGAAAATGAAGAACCAAAGTCTGATTTCTTCATTCCGTGTCCAAAGCGAAAGCCCAGGAGGTCTTTAAGTAAAGTTATTGCAGGGAAGGCAATTACCGAGACAGTTGTCACCGCCGACATAAACAACTATATTGTCAAGACAAAACAGAAGAAAACAACAAAAAAGCCATCTTCAGCTACACCTCAGTTATCAGCTGATTCAACGCAGAAAAATCGACCAAAACAAAAAAAGTCAAGTTAAGAAAAACCAGCTACTAATGCGGACGATTCCGAAAGACCAGGACCATCAGGGTTGGATAGGCTTTTGATCAGCGATGACGAGCCAATCAGCGACGATGAAATATTAGACGAAGAAAAATGTTGCGTGTGTTAACTTTTCCAGCCAGTGGAATTACAGTCATGTGTGTCAGTGGTATTTACAACATTGGGTCAGTGCATGTACCCGGCTTGTGAGCACTGGGTTCACTTAAAATACTGCTGCGATGTCACTGTACTGCGCAGACATGACATGTTTTATTGTCCCTGCCATGGAGTGCCATGCAGACAAGAAGAATAAATGTGCACATGATTGAATAACTTACCTGTAAATATGTTTTTTCACTAAAAACACTCAAATAATCAAGAAAAAAATCACCAGCTGGCTTGACTTTTTATTAAAATGCCACGTTGTATTTGTTGTCTTCTTGGGAGAAGAATGCATCACCTGGGCTTCCATACAAGGTCG